CGTCCCGCCCCGCACGCGTTTCACCAGCGTACGGGGCCAAGCGGATCTCAAAAGCCCCGCCCCCTCCCCGCCCCACCCTCTCCTACTCATTTCAAAAAAGATGCGTTTGACGTGTTCCCGCGCCATCTCCGCTCACAAACTCGTCCGCACTGTCGGAAGACGCGACGGGGAAACCGATGGCATGTCGTTTGCGCCCGACAATGAACACATCCGGTGTGAGAAACCGGTCGCATGCAGATGCTCAAAGTCCAATCCGAGTGGACGTCGAATGACGCGTGAGGCCGCTCCGCCCGGTCGTCGGCCGAAGACGCGTCGCAGAAGACGAACGAGCGCCGCAGAGCGTTTCCGGGACCTGCGGGCGGCGCCCCCGCTCGGCCCCCGCTCTATCTGTCGTGAACCTCCGCCGCCTCTTCGTCCTCGTCCTCTTTTGTGCCGATAAGCCGCTGACGGGCAAAGTCTTCAAAGACGATGTCGTCGTCCTCGTCGTCGTCATCGCCGCCGCCGCCGCCGCCGCTACGGAGCCGAAGAACCAAAGACAAAAGTCCCAACGTGAGTGACGACGCGAAAGCGCACGCTCTCCCTTAGCGAGTACCGCCGGCGAATCGGCGGCGACGACGGCACGCGAGCTTTCGACCGTCCCGGACAAAGAGACGAGCCGGTCGGGCGCATCGGCGGCGCTCCTCGGAAGCCCTTCTCGGACCCTCCCGGCCTGTCGCGCCACTAACTTGCCCGGGGTCAAAACCATCCAAACGTGCGGCGCCAAAGACATCAATGTCCGTCAGTTACAATCTTTCGCCGGAAGGCCGGCTGCGGCGGCCCGATTTCGATTGCGCATTTCATACGCGGCGGGTCTCAACCTTCTCGATACTTGAAAAGAATTTGAAGCGGAAGTCTCTCGCGTGCGCGCCACCAGCCACGAGTCTGCTCACCCACCGGCGACGGGACACCGAAGAATTCGAGCAGACGCTCCTTTTGCTTTGGGCAACTTGACGCGGCCGTCCGCACGCAAGGTTGGACGTATCGCGAACTGCTTTCGAGCCAGGAAATCCCCGGCGCCCCAAACCCGGACGGGGACGGCGGCTAGCGGCCCCTCGATGGACCGAAACGATTCTTTGGAGGACCGCGCGTCGAGGGTGCGTGGGCGAGCGTCCGTTGCGCACGCGCGATGCTTACGTGGCGTCAAACTGGATCAGGTTGGCGTCGCTCGGCGCTTGGTCGGCGGCTGCAAGACAAGGCAGATGAGAAGACGTCCCCGGCCGGGCGCGGCCCAGGCCGGCCCGGCCGGCGGGCCCTTACTTTCTTCGCCGTGCGCCGACTCTTGGCAAGGCTTGGGGTGCATCAGCGTGAAGGGAAGCTCCAGGGACACGTCACTGGGAAGCAAAACAGCGGGTGAGACGCTCGAGCCGCCACCGCCGCCGCCCCACAAATCGGCCCCAACCGCGCCTTGGGAAGGATTTTCAATTTGCAAACATTTTCAGCGGGACAACCAAGTCCGCGATCTCCTTTGGACAAAACTGATTTTTTGTACAAACGTCAGCTCCTTCGATTCATGTGGCAGAAATCGCCATGGACCCAAAATTGGACGTGGAAACGTTTCAACAAAGCAGCCGGACGCGGTTCCCACAGAAATGCGGAACGGCGGCCTGCGTCCCAGGCGCTCGATGGCGTCCGGCGGCCTTTTCGCGGGGAAGCGGCGGGCTCGACGCTCTCTGCGCGTCGTGGAGAGAGCGGTCCAACTTACCTGGGGGCCAAGTCTCCCAGGAGCCTGCGGAGCACACACACACACACACACACAAAGCGGACAAGAAGCTCAATGGCCGCTCGACGCGCTTGGCAAAATGAAAAGCAAGCGAGCTGACTGACCCGCCTCGAGAAACCAGCAGCTTGACTTTGACTTTGTACGACACCACGATGCCCAACATCTCCTTGTCGGCGCCCTCGCGCAACCTGAACACATCCACATTTGCGCTCGGCGTCCGCATCGTTCGGAGGCTTTGGCTTTTCACTCCGCACCAGACTTGAAACTTTGGCTTTTCTCGCTTGGATGCTTTTTGCTCCGCGTTCGGCGCTTTGGAGACGGCGGCGCGGGCCGTTTCAAAGCGTTTGGCTCTTGGAAAAAGGCCAGCTAAGGGGACGGAAAGACTCCCGAGCGGAAGCTCAGATTTTTCTCCAGCGTGACCTGAACTCCCCAAGATGGATTCAAACGGTTCGCCGAGTCCCCCTCCGAAAGAGCCCCCAAAAGGCAACGCGAGGACCTTTTGAAGGCAAACGTCCGCGAGCGCCGCCGGTCAGGAGAAGCGGACGGCTCCAACCGGGAGGGCCCCGGCCGACGGGGGGCTCGCCTGGACCGGCCTGAGGCGGAGACCCCTTCGCCATGTGCGGAGCGTAAGCCGCCACGACGGCCGAGTGTCCCTGCGTCGCTCGCTCCAAAAGCCCAAACGGAAAAGGGCGACGGGAAGGCCGCGGGTGGCTCTCGTGACGACGCATTTTCCATTTTGCGGCCACAACAAATCGGCCGCATCCATTTTGGCCTCCGATTGGAAGGCGGAGTTAAAAAAAAAGCCAAAGCGACCGACCGACGGGCGCTAGGAAAGCGGCCTCGGGGGCCCCCCCTTAGGAGGCGTGCGGACTCACTGCGTACTGGAGGCCAAGTTGGTGTCTTCGTGCTTCAACTTGCCGTCCAGCGCCAGGCCTCGCTTCTCTCGGTTGTTGCACAGAAACGGCGTCAGGGTGAAAACCTTGCAGGAGGTCGAACTGGAAGCCACCGCGTCACTGAGAAGACCAACGAACGAGTCGTCACGAGGGTGGTCTTCGAGATGGGGTCCCGGCGAGAGAGCGTCGGTTGTTTTTGGCAGAGGATAAAGAATAGACGCGCGTGAGAACCGCCCTAGCGTCCGTGTGTCTGCGCGCGTCCCAGCGCCGTCGCTGGCTTCCGGGCCGAGCGCACACTCATGGTTAGCCAGCGCGCCTCTGGCGTTTGCCCACTCGAGCTTAGCATTCGGCTAGCGGATGCTCGATGCTCGCTTTAAATGCAAAAGTGCCGTTCTTTTGTTTTCTTTTTTCCATCCCGGATGTCTTTACGTGAGGCTCAAGTCATCTCCAAGTTTTCTCCTTTGCGTGAGGCGTGCGTCGGTCTGGGTTGCCCCGCCCCGCCCCGCCCCCCCGCGAAGGAGACGGACGGGACTCACTCGGACTCCTGGCACGCCACGGGACATTTGTACTGCGCCGTGTTGAACAGGCAGATGTCGGCGTATTGTCGCACTGCGGAGGACGACGGGGCAGGGGTGAGCGAGGCCGCGGAAGCAACAGAGGGGAGGCCCCCGGCCCCCCGGCCTCCGTACCTGACACCTTCATCTTCTTCACCGTCTTGTTGCTGTTGTTGGTGACGTGAACGTTGACGCTGATGGGCTCGCCGTGGTAGTAAATCTGAAAGAGGCCAGAGCGGCGGCCGGTGGGTGGGTTCCTCGTCGGCGCGGCGACGGCGGGAGCGTTGGCGGGCTCACCTGCTTGTCCAGAGACGCCTCCAGGTGGAGCGCTTTGTCCGACATCAGGAAGTGGCGGGTGGTCTCGGCGGCCGGCTGCGGCCCGGCTTTCTCGGGGGCAAACTGAACCTTGCGGATCACCAGACGCACCGAGTTCCTGCGCGGCCCGCGGCGGCGGCGGCGCCATCGCGCGCCACTTTCAATTAGGCGCTACGCCATCGATCGCCCGCCTCGGGAAACCTTTCGGCTGCTAATGCGCCGGCATTCATAATGCATGCGCCGGAAGCCTCTTACCTTTTGCGAATCTTTTCCTCCGCGTTGTCCGCGCAAAACACTTTGACTTCAAAGTCCACGCCGCAGGCCTGCGGAGCAGACACGCGGTCATTCGTACGGGAAAACGCGGCCGCTTCCGAGCCTCGGAGGACGGCGCTCGGCGGCTCGTCCCGCGCGCGATTCGGGGCGCGAACATCTGGCCCCAAAGACGGGTTCCCAAACCGGCGCCTGCCCGGCGGCTCGGCGCTAATTCACGCGGAGCGAGCGGCGGCGACCTTTCCGGTGTCCTCGGGGCCCGGCTGCAGCGTGACGGAGCAAGGCAGGTTGAGCGGCATCTGGACAGACAATCAGAGGGCAGACAAAGCCAGATGGCGCTTCTTGCGGACCGAGACGAAGCCGCTCCAATCTCGCATCCAAAGATGGGCCACGCGGATTTGCCGATCCTTGGCGCCGTGTCGGTTGTCGCTCTCGCGGGCGACGGTAGCGCGCATTGGTGGGAAGTTGGGAACATGGCGAGCGCGCCCTTGCGCTTTGTTGACGGCGTGGCGCCTTTTTAGCCTTCGTCCAATCTCGCCAAAGCAACTCGCACACGCGCGCCCAATCCGAGAGTGATCGGGCGTCTCCGCAAGTCGCGAGGCGCATCCTCGTCCGCACGGGCGGGCCTACCTGGAACGTGAAGGGGTAGGCGTGCTCTCCCAGTTTCTTCATCAGACGTTCCTGCAAACGGGTCACGTCGCTCTCGGCCTCGCCGACGGGAGGAAACACCTGCGCGTTGGCCACAAAGAGATCTTTGCGAAAGGTCAAGCCCAGCACGTCCAGATCTTCGCGGCCGTAGCGGAAAGCGCAGGTGAGCGTCACAAAGACTGCAAAACAAGCAAAGCGCGGCCGCGTCCGCAAAAGCGTTCGGGAAAGCCGCGGCGGCTCGGAACTTTGCCCCGAACCTTTTCTCTCCTTCAGGTAGTCGGGATCGATCAGGATGACGCCATCTGATGGGGAAAAGGCACCAGAGCCGATGATGCGCTTCAGCGTCACCAAAGGGGGGAGAAATCTTTTTTTTTATTTTTTTTTTTACCAACGGGCTCCACTCGGTCGACGTGGTCCACAAAGTCTCTCTTCCCCAGGTAGACGGTGAGCTGAAAGCAGGAAGAGGGTTCGGTGCGGCCCGGCGAGCCGGTCGGCGGCCGCAACGGCGCCGATTGGCTCGTGTCGCAAGGAAGGAAGGAAGGAGAGGAGCGGGACTCACCCTCCCGTTGGGACTTGCTTTTTTAAACACCCTGAAAGTGAAACGAGACGTTTGGGATTAGCGGTCGGAATTTTTTTGTTGAACCGGCGGTGAACGTTTTGCTCTTGATGTTTCGAGCCCCCGAAACGATTTCAAGCTTCACCCAAAACCGCCTTGAGATGAATCGGCTGCGAGACCGCACTGCTTAGTCCAAACGCTCATATCGGTTTTCTGTTGAAATGGTCGCAAAGCGCCATTCGTCCGTTACAGGAAAAAAAAAAAATTCTGAAGACTGCAATGCAAAGATTTGGAGCGGTCGGGCTTAAGCAGGCCCGCCAAACGATTCACTGATTGAAAACCGACAGGTGTCAATTGATTTGAGCGGTAATTGATTTTTGACACCTCGAGCGGGGTGGGGTCACGTTGACCCGGGTCCGCAGAAAACTCCCGCGTCCTTTTGTCACCTTTGAAGTCTTTCAGGAAAGGAAGGCGGGCGGCGTTGGGCGGCGCCGCCCATCTATCTGGGAGTTTGGGCTCTTTCTTTTTTCGCTGCTCAGCCACTTCCTGCCTGAGCTGCGTGACATCACGCGCTTTTCGCCCTCGTCTCCCCCGTCCTACGACTACTTGCAACTTTCGATCCGCTTCTTTTTCCTACCACAAGTTCGTGTGTGGTTCTGGCTGTGTTGTCATGGTAACCATCTTCTACTCTGTCACATCTCTCTCTCCTCACACTCACACCCACACATATGACGTTGAACAAAATCAAATTTGAAACGCGCCCCTTGCTGTCATGACACGATTGAGAGGAAAAAAAAATTCCAACCAACAGCACGCGACGACAGCCACACCCACACCCACGCACACGCGCACACACACGCGCAAGGGCTACCTGGTTCCTTTCTCTGCCATCCTGACGCCAGCAATGACGAGCAAGTGGACACGCCGAGGAAGATGATGAGGAGGAGGAGGAGGAGGAGGAGCAGGAGGGAGCCCGTCACCGTGGCAACTGAAGGGAGGAAGTGTTCTCTGCGGTCACGTGATCCGCGGAGAGCTCACGAAAGCTCCCCCAACCGAAGCCCCATCACAGGGGAGCGTTTCAAGCGCCAATTCAGCAAAAATCTTCACTCCAATGAGAGCATCAAAATGAAGTCAGAGGAGATTCCGCCCCCCCCCCCACTTTTTTTTTTGACCTTTTCTAAGCCAGAGTCAACATCGCCACCTCCTGGACGCGCGAAGGCTTGCGGGTGGCGTCTCGTCGATCGCGGAGCCGCCCGCCGGACGTGGACCGAGACTACAGAGTCGCTGTGCGATGACGTCACGTGCGCGCGTCGGGAGCGGGAGACGAGAGTGGAGACGAGGGAGAGGCAGGCGCGCCTCGCCGAAGTTCAATCCAACTTCTCCACGTGAACACAACAGTTGTGTGGCTCCTTTTTGAGTTGAGAAAAGGAAAACAAAAGAAACGGACTTTTCCCCTTTCTTTTATTCTTCACACGACGCAACAGATGACGCGTCATTTAAAAAGTCCCAAAGCACGAGAAGAAACAAAACAGAAAAAGCCGCGTCACCTAAACACAAAGCAAAAGCAAAAGCAAAAGCAAAGCAGTTTGTTTCGGAAAAAGCTTGACGGAGCGCAGGGATGCAACGCCGCGAAGGTTTCGGCTCGCCGGTGAAGTGGACCGTCCGCATTTCACTCCTCGGCCTCGGCGTCGCCTTCAGCCGTCAGAGGTCGCTCCAGAGGACGGCCCGCCCCTTTTTGTCCACGCTGGCCGCGTACTCGCCGGACGACGACCAGCAGACGGCGCTGACGGAGGCGCTGGAGAATCAAAAGGAAGAGCGGGTCCGCACCGTCAACCAGGGACCAAAGTCTGGCCTTCCGAGGAACAACAGCGGGTCTCCTTCGCGCTTGCTCCGCACAAATCCAAATTCCTCCTCCTCGTTTGCGCATGATGGACCCGAGACAAATGAGCGACTAGCCGCTAATTTGCCACCGTGCTGAAGAGTTTGGAGAGTGCTCCGAAGTGAATCCAGCACTTCACTTGTTGATTCTTCTTTTTTTTTTTTAAATGCTCTTTAAACGAGCTAAACAGAAAGCACATAACCATCAAGCACTTAGTGGAAACTAGGGCCCGATGATTTCATTGGCTTGTATGAGCCCTTCACAAATCAGCCTTTTTTTCCCCCTTATTTGCATGAACACAATGTAAGACAAAACAAAAACCCAGTCCAATTCTCTTGATGTCATTTTTATGGTGACTGCAAGTCTACGATGCTTATTTTGGCTCTGCATTGGCCACATGAGTCACCGTCGCTGCGTGTTAGCCACTTTTGCCACGCATCAGCTACTTTTTGGACTCACAAACACGTTCGAAGCAGTTTAGCCACACTGAGACTTTTGCTACATATTAGCTCCACTATAGTCCCACTTTGGCCAAAGCACGGTGACGCTTTGGCCACACGCGAGCTCCGCGTTCGCCAGACGGTACCTGTGATTGTCGGCCAGGCGCGCCTCCAGGTTTCCAGCCGAGACGTTCCAAACGTAGACGGCGCCGTCCGCCGATCCCGCCGCCACGAAGCAAGCGTCGGGGCTGAGAGGACGGCGGGCGTGAAAGGCAGCTCGGAGGTGGAGACGCGCGTCAGCCGTTTGTTCGGAAAAGCTCACCTGATGGCCACTTTGGTGCTGTCACTGGCACATTTGAAGCCTTCCGCTCTGATCCAAAGGCACAAAACGTTCACCGCTTCCGTCAACTCCCACGACTTAAGCTGTATCGTTTTCTTCTTTCAACAAAGAGCGCCTTGTGTGTGCGCGTGTGTTTTCATTCATGTGTATTCATTTTGATAGAAATTTACAAAATGACATCGATGCAACCTCCAGTGGACAAAATTAGCAACAACAGTTACTTTTGTTGCGGTTTTCCGCTTTGCAAAAATCATCCCCGCGGGCCGTAGTGGACTGCCTGAGGGGCCGACTGCGGCCGGCGGGCCGCAGGTTTGACACCCTCGCGTTCAATGCCGCGGACGCGTCGTATGTGATGCGCGGGAATGAAAGCAAGCCAAAGCGGAGGCGAACCGTCACGGAATTCACCTGAAGGCGGCGCCGCGGTGGCTCCACCGGCGGACGTCGAGCAGCTGCAGGCCGTCGTCGCGGCAACAGCTGAGCAGATGCCGGCCGTCGGCGCTGAGGTCCAAAGACGTCACTTTGCCCTGCGCCGACAGACAGCGGACGCAGCTGGACAGCCTGAACCCAAACAACACGTTGGACCGGCGCACCCTCAGCAGAATGCCTCGCCAACAAATAAACACGCCCGCGACAACGGCGCCAAGCCACGCTCAAGATTCCGATCGCCATTTCTTGTCAAGCGCAATAGGAGGGGAGCTTACTGGCACTGGAATGAAAACAAACCCAGCGAGAATGCTCGGTTGTTCTTTGTCGAGGGGAGGCCGGAACAGATTAGCGGCACTGCTGTTCATTTCGACGGGGAACGAGAATTTGAGCGACGAGCGCGGTCCGCTCGGCGTGCCGAGGCGGCGGCTTCGGGCCTCACCTGGTGTCCCACAACCGGATCTTGCGGTCGAAATGTCCGCTGATGGCCACGTTTTCCGAGCAGACGACGTCGCTGCAGAAGGACGACGCTTGGGCCAAGTGGACACCTGAACGACAAGGCGCGTCATCAGGCAGATTACTCGCCGCGCGGGCGTCGGCGCAGGCGTCGGCGGCTTTCGGGCCACGTACAGGCGGCTCGTTGAAGGTCCCACATCCTGACGGTCCCGTCGGCGCTTCCCGTCACCACTTGATGGCGGCTGAAGCGAGCGGCCGTCACCTTCCTGCCGTGGCCTGTCAGGGTCAGCTGGGGCGCGCGCCGCCAACGCGCACACACACGCGGTCCGTCAGTCAGTCGCACAGCGCGTCAGGCGAGCGCACGGCCGCGGGGTCGGTCATTCTCAAATGTCGACGGGCCGGGGCTCCAGAGCGCAAGCGAAACGTGGTCAACTAAAAATGGCGCCGGGCAGCACCGACTTGTGCTTCCACCCCAAAAACATTTCAGGCCGCCGCTCCCCACAAAACAAGCGGCGCAAACGCTTGCGTCACGCCCGGGAGGCGCACGCTAACGCGCAGACGGACACGCGCCGACCCAGTGGCTCGGCCTCCGGTGTGGCAGTTACCTTGGCAACGGGGCGGTCCAAGCACCACAACAGAGCCGATTTGTCGTACGAGCCCGCCAGAATCCTGTGACCCTGCGCAAGCAGCGGCGCCGTCTTGAATGAGGCCGGGTCCAAAGGTCGCAGCCGCTACTCACCGTGGGGTCGAACTGGACGCAGGTCAGACCCTCCGTGCTGCCGTCCAAGGTGGTCTGGTGTCTGAGGGCGCCTGAACGCATCGGCGACAGAAAAAGGTCAACCCTTTCACGAGAGCCGCCCATGAGCCGCCTCACGTCGACCGATGTCAGATGAGCGTGAAGTGGCCGGGGGGGGGGGCCGACCTTCTCCGCGGCCGTCGATCCGCCGCCCGGCGGCTTACCTGCTCGGACCTGCCACACTTTGACCACCCTGTCGGTTCCCGCGCTGGCCAGCAGGGCGGAGCTGGGGCAGAAGGCCGCCGCGTTGACGCCCTGCTCGTGGGCTTCCTGTCAAATCAAAGGCCGGCCGGCTTTTCATCTTGCCGCTCGTCTCGCCGACGAACACCGCCGCGAACGTTCGGGGGAGACTCCGCACGAAAAGGACGGAGGCTCGACAACACAGAGACCGGCGCGGGCGCTCGAGCGTTACCGCGCCCTCGATGCCGCGGGGCGCTTCCCATAGCTTGGATTTCGACCAAAGCGACGGGGCGTCGATTGATCACGTGGCGCGCGGTTGACGCGACGACGGTCGGGACCGGCCCGAGACAAATTCACTCCGAACGCAGCTCGGACAAAAGCGAGGCCGAGCGGGATCCCCTCGCAGGACCCGCCACGGGCCGCAGCGTCGGTCGGGGAAAGGGCCGAATCGGGAGGCGGGCCGACGAGCTTACCAGCACGTGCAGGGCTCGGCCGGGAACTCGAGCCGCCGCCGGGACCCTGACGGGACGCGCCGGCTCCTCCTCTTCCGCAGCCGGCCGGGATCGGCCCCGCCTCCTCCTGTTGACGGCGGCCGGACTCAGAACGAGATACGGGAGGCCGCGCGAGGCGCGCCCCTTCCGTCGGAGGCCGAGTGGGCCCGGCGCGGCGGCCGAAGGACCGGACCCGCGCGCTCTGACCTCACGGGGGCAATCTACCGCCGACTGCGGGCCGGCGTTCGGGTGAGGCGCTCACTCAAAGAGATCTCGGATGGACGCCGGGATCCTCGGAGAGACGTGGGAAGCCGGAGCAGATCTGAGAAAAGGAAGGAGGAGGAAATCCGCTTGGATTTCCGCCGGACTTTTTTCCGCCGGCTTTTTCTTCAGCGCTAAACACCTCCAGCGCGCGCCGCCCAACGAGCTGGAAAACACACAAAAGGCTTCCCGTCAACGGACTTCCACATCGACACCAGCGGAAGGGATCTTGCTGGATGCAGCGACATGAAAAAGTTGAGTCAAGCGAGCAGGAAAATAAAATCCCAATCATCGGTGCCCGTCGAAGCCGCTCCCCGTTGCCAGTCGGCTTTTCACGCCAGACGCGCTCCATTGACACATTTTTACGGACGAGCTTCGAGGCGTCATGCAAGTTTGAGCCCTTCTTGCTCTCGGGGCCCGCGGCGCCAGGGGCCCACTCGAACAGTTTGGTTCGCCAAGGGAACGCCGGCCTCACCTGTCGACGTTGACCTGGGAGGTGGCGGCGGTCTGCAGCTCCTTCTGCAGGTTGACGTCTTGAGCTCTGAGTCACAAAAGAACATTTTCATGCCATCCGATGCGGAGAGCCGCGCCAATCGTGTCAGCGAACGACGACGACGACGAGGAGGAGGAGGAGAGCCACGAGGCGGCCGGGAAGGGGCTGCTGCACCCCGCTTGGCATTTGCCGTGTTTCCTTGCCCCGTCGGGAGCTTTTGGATTCTCGAGGAAGCGGCCAACGGCCTCATTTTGACCAATCATGTCGGGGTGGAGCCGCGACGGTGCGCACCCGCCCCCCCCCCCAATTTGGCTGAAGGAAGGGCGCGGCGCATTTTGAAAAGAGCTTTTCCGCGGACTCGCAGCGTTTTGTGACGTCGCCGCCGCATCAGATGGGCTCTGCCGTCCGGCGGGCGAAAAAGCGCGGGCGCACCTGGAGCGTCTGTGGTTTCGCTGGTTGAGCCGCGCGGCCGCCTGCCGCTTGAGCGCCATGACGTCCTCCAGCAGGCCGCTCCCTCGGAGCTTCTCCTCCCTGAGGCGGCGCTCGGCCCGCCCCTGGCGCTCCATCAGGGCGTCGTACTCGGCCTTCAGGCGCCCGTTCCGCTCGCCCAGCCGCTCCGCCCGCAGGCGCAGCTGCAGACGCAGGTCCCGCGCGCCCGCCAGCCGGCGCTCGTCTTGCAGCAGCCTGACGGGGCACGCGCGGCGTTTTCAGATCGATCTCCGACGGTCATTGCGGGCCATTTGCCGCGCACCCGTTGGCAGGCGTGTCATCGGAAAGCAAAAACACATCTTCTCCATTTTGAGAAGAATTTTCAATTGGGCGTGTGCACCTGTCACGCTGCTCCTCCAAAACGTCGTCTTGCATTTTCATCTGCTGCTGCCTCTCCACCACTTGATACGCCAACTGCAACCAAAGCGGGACAGTCGCCTTTGGCTTTTTTGTTGACTCTCACACAAATCGATTCGATTTTCCAAAGAGCGTGACGGCGCACTTGAAGCCGACGCGGCGGACTCCGAGGCCGCCCCCTTTTTTCGGAGCGGCTGAGATTCAAGCGCCGCCTTTGTGGCCCAACAATTTGAAGCGGCGTCGCAGATGACCGCCGAGCCAAATGAGCGAGCGAGCGCGCACGCTAAAGAAAGACAGACAGAGAAGACGGGGGGACTTTGGGGACATGCGTCTTGCGCTTGCACCTCTCCGGCGGCCTTCTTGAGCTGCGCACGCGAAGGCGAGACGGCGCCGCGTCTTCCGCTTGCCAGGATCCAGTCGGTCGCGCCGCTTTTGTCCAGCAGGCCGGAGTCTGAAAGAAGGCCAAAAGCAGCCGCTGAGCGCGAATGCCGACGCGCCGCTCTGCGGGCGGACCGCCGCAACCTGTTCCGCCGGCGGCGCCGCGTATTTGATCGCAATCGCAGCGCTGCGCAAACGCCGTCGCAATTTCCACACAATCAAAAGGCGGTCGTCGAGGGCGGACCGACGGGAGGCCGAAAAACAAAAACGTCCCTTCGGAATGATCGGGGAGCTCGGCGGCGCCGAAAAGATGGCGGATGCCGTCGGCCGGCCCGATTCCGACGGACATAAAGACGTCCATGCGGATACGGGGGCGGTTTTGACGGACGTGCCCAAGTAAGCGCGGAGACAAAGTTGAGCGCTCGCAAAGTTGGCGGAAACATGACAAGTCGAAGGGGCGCGGTCGTTGTCGCTTGGGCCGCGTTGCTCGCTGGAGGCCATTTTGTCGAGTGAACGCTTGAAAGACCGCAAGACAAAGTCGTGAACTCTCATTCGACTTGATGAAGACATCGTCGCTCGCATCGTTGAGAAGAAACGGGAAGGCCATTGTGCAGCGTCAGAAAGAAAAAACAAAGGCAAAAGACGTTCAATGGCGGGCACAACGTCGGCTTCTAAACGGGGTCGTCCGTCGCTCCGCTTCCCCAAAGTAAAAAAAAACAGAGTGAGAAAGTGGAGGACCGCTCATCCGACAGCTGTTTGGAAGGTCGCGCGGCTGAGCGGGAAGGAGCTTCCCCAAGTCGCAAAGACTCGCGAGCGTTCATCTCTTTGCCAAGAAGCGCCTGAGAAACCCGAAGAAGGATCTTGCCGGGCGGAGCGTCGCAAGCCTCGGAGGCATTTCGGCATCCGTCACGTCACCCAAAGGTACCCGGAGTGCGGGAGCGGCAACTTTGCACTGCCTGTGACCTGCCAACTTTCCGGCGCCAAATACCAACAGCGGGGTGTCAAGGACATCAGCGCGCGGGCTCGGAACGCAGACGTCAGTCAAGCCGGTCAGGCGCGACGTTCGGTTCGGGAGCGCCGTTTCCCAACGCCGGCCACGAAGGCCGCCGGCTTCTCTGGGCCCGAGCTCAACAATGAGTGTCGTCGCTTTCCAAATGTCGTTTCAAGAAAAAGGTGATGGGACGCGACGCCGGCTTGAATGATTTGCTTCCTTACTTAAAGACAATCACGTTCATCGGTTTGAATGTGACAAATGTCGTCTCGGTAGCGTAATCCCCGAGAGGGAGATTGAACGGGATTCTCTTTTAAATGACGGTCAACACGGGTCCCAACTTGATTGGAAATGGTCACGACTAATCGGTGCGGCCGAGGTCTCGGGACAGTTCAAGTTTGCGTCTCAAGGCACGACTGCCATTGGATTTGTCCAACTCGAGCGCAACAAAACACCAAGTGAACATCGCCGTTGCCAAATTTCCCAAACTGCCGATTCATTGTGTTGGCGAGCGCCGCGAACAGCGGGGGGGGGGGGGGGGGGGTTTTTTGGGGGGGGGGGGGGGGGGGGGGGGGGGGGGTCCGACCCGCGACGAATAGCGATTCTCGACAGCGACGGTCTCCTTCGGAACATTCGAAGGGGGGTGCGCGGCGTCTTACAGGCGCAGACGAGGTCTCGGAACCTGCGGCACTGCTCGCGGTCTCTGCGGCGCAGCTGCAGCAGGACGTGCGCCTTCCACGGGTCGCCGTCCGTCGCGGTTCCTCCCCGGGAGTCCTTCGGCCCCCCGAGCGGCTTCATGCTCGTCAGAGACGCCGCGGCGGCGAAGTTGGTCCGACTTTCTCGAGTCGCTCGACTTTGTCGGGCCCGTGCGCGACCGTCGGCCAATCGCCGCCCACTTCCGCTTTGAAACGCGAAGCAACCGGGACGACGACGGGCGATTTCGCAATGGTTTCGAATGTCCGAGCGGCGAAGAGCGCGACAAGTCTGCCACGCGCCGTTACTTCGAACAAAGGCGCAGGCGCCAGTGTCATGATTGTTGTTTTTGATGAGGACGACGAGCCCTCCTCCTCGCGGCCCTCCCCCTGTGCGCAGTTCGAGGCGCGGCCGAACGTGGGCTGGACCTAAACGTTTCAATCCAAGGGTCAACTTGTTTTTCTTTCTTTCGTTTATGAATCCGTGTCCTTGGTAGTTTTATGTCGCCACGCTTACTTTTGAGCGCTTCATAGCACATGGAAAACGACAAACCCCTTCAGGAAGTCGGGGCGGAACTGGCGGAACTGTTGGACGGAAGTGGTCAACGCGGCCATATGACGTCAGTTCCGGGTGGACGGCGGGCTGTAGAGACACGGAAGGCCGCCGAGCGTATTCTGGGGCCCTGAAAAGTGCCGAGAAATGGCTGCACTACTACATTTCCCCAGCAGAGAGCGCGCTCGCACTGCCTGTGTGGTGGAGGTGAATTCGATACTTCGGGCTTTGGTCAGTCTTGTCATTTTCTTTGTGAAATGTTTTTGTTTGTTTTTTTTTTAACGAAGTGCGTGACGTCGTGTGACGGAGCGTCATCAAACCCACCAAGGAAATAGTTTGACGAAAAGAAATAGGCGCGTCGTGAGAGGTCGACAATGCGGTCAAAGCAAATCGTTTTGTCTGGGCCGTTTGTCCAAAAAATGCTGACTTGTGGCGATGGCGAAACGCAGCCTTGTGAGGCTTGGAACCCTTTCTGTCATGTTGCTGGCAAGTATGGCCAAACGGGTTCCGCGAGACATGAGAAGCTTGCTTCAATACGACCGGTGGGTGGAACCCAAACCATGTTTGAATTAGGATTGTTTTTTTCCCCTTAACACCACGGGTATACTTTTAAGGCAAGTCACCAGGACGAGACACACACAGATAGATGAGTGGCGGACGGGTCCTTTTATTGTACAAGTCAGATTCTAATGTCATTGCGTGCGCCGCTTTGGCTTCTGGCCACACTCAGCCGCGCGGGCGGCCCAGGTGGACGGGCTCGACGCGGCGGCGGCCCCCGCACCGACTGAGCCGAAAGGACACTTGCGGTCGGACGCCGGCCTTCTCAGGAGCAAGCGGCGCGCGTCTGCGTCGCGCTACCGCGGAGCGGCTCTCCTCCGAGGTGCCGGCGGGTGCGGCTCGGCTTGTGGGGCTCCCTTCAACAAAGACGGCGTGGAAGAAGGCCACGCAGGAAAGGCTGCGGCTCCGAACGCCCGCCTCCGTCCTCCGCCTGCCGCGCATTCGGACAACAGCACAGAATGGCGTGAGAGCGGCGCGGCTTCGGTGAATTCAGCACGGCAGCTGGAGACCTTCGCGTTGGGAAAAGCGCCAACTCAGTGATGATCGCACGAATCGACGACTCCCTTTTAGAGCCGCGCCGTTTCACTTCAAGTGATCATTTTGTCAAATACTGAATGAAGGTCTCAGGTTGAAAACTTGAGATCAGTAGCCCCGCCCCTCCCGGGACCGACGCTCAACTCTGTCGCTTTTTTGTTGTCGGAAATGATCACAAGGAGCCGAGATGATCTGCACACGGACTCCTGTCGTGATGACGCTTCCTGTCGCTGTGAGCGTCGCGGCGAGCACGCGGACACGTCGCGACTCGGAAGCGTGCCGGCGCCGGGAGGGCGCGGCGGGGCATCAGACCTTTTACTGCTCATCATTGACCTTCGACTGGCGCGAGCGAGCGCGTGCCCGTTGGAGCTCGCGCTTCCTAAAATAAGCGTTAGCCGCAGCCCCGAATGCAAGCGCGGCGGTTGCTAATGTTAGCGTTAGCACGACGGGGGCTGCTAACATTTGCTGTCGCAGGATGAGGCAAAAAGCACCGAAAGGTATCCCGGAAGCATAAAACAAAACAGAGAGATCCTGACCTTAATTAACAAGCAGAAAACAAAGGAAAAACTTTTCATGATGAGCGCTTGGCGAGCCATCAAAACGGGAGGCAAAGACGCACCCGGACGTGCTGGTGATGCGACATTGGGCGTTGATCTTCAGCTGGAGCAGCCCGTGCGGTCATGATGCGAATGCGAGCGTTGCTGGGCCCGGCGGCAATCGGGGCGCTCACCTGCGGGATCGGAGACAAGCCCGGAGTTCGGGTTGCAGCTGGCCATACTGATGCCGACAATTTCCCCCCCGTTAAACCTGAAACAACACGTAGGATGGCAAGCGTCACATCTTGGGGTGCCAGCTTGCGTGTTCAAGGCGCGCTGTAGACGTTGCACCGCTATTTTTAAAACATTGTTTATATTATTCATCAATATTTTGTTCCATCTCCGGTTCATTTTGGGTGTAATTCCAACGCAGACTGGTTTGACGCTAAATTTGAAAGATGGAAAACAGGATTTTTTTTTGGGCTGAAGCCGATTGAATGTGTAAGCCTCTTCAATCCTGCTTTTGAAGCCTACGGAAAGCGTTTCATTTTAGAATCGACATCTTTGGTAGGATTTCGGATGACATCAACAGGCGACATCTTTCTCCAGTGTTTTGTCTTACCCATCGCACTTGTTCTCTCAATAACTTTAGATGCATTTCTGTTATTTTCAAAGTGTGTTTAAAGGCCCAAAATAAATCAAGTGCTGTCAATACTTTCACGGCATGCTTTGGGCGCTCAGAATTTCGAGATTGCAGATTCCTCTCATTGCAGGGGTCGTTGTTTTTGAACGGTCTTTGTTATTGTAGGACACGTGTTCCCTCCGCGTCCGGTACGGCACTTTGGAGGCAGTGTTCGAAACGTTGAGTTAGGTTCATCCTTCCCTTGTGCTCGCGTCCGATGTCACAGCACACTGTTTAGCGCATCCCGTGCTGAGTGGACTCTTGTTTGTTCGATATAAAGTTTCACGTGCACTTTGCGGGATGCCGCGTCGAGGTCGTTACGCCTCGGGGGCTCTCGACGGCTTTCCCCGTTGACTGTTAGCTAGCTGATGGCGTTAGCACGGAGCGACAGCGAGGCGACCTACCCGTCAGCTTCTCGAGGCCTCGTGGCGGCTCATCTCTTCTTCCGACTGCGGAGAGAACTGCCGCAGTCGGCGCGTTCTGCCGGCCGGGGCGCCGCTCGCCGTCAAGCGCTCGGCTAGCTTAGCCTCATGTTAACAACGGCAAACGTTCGACGGCTCACCGGAAACGGAGCGCTCGGCTCACAAGTTGACTTGAAAAACACGCCCCCTGCCCAACCAATGGCGGGAAACGCAACAAATAAAATCAAACAAGAGCCCGCTTTTTTCTCGAATCAGCCAATCAAAGAGCGTCTGATTTGGAAACGAGCAGCTCGCGGGTCTTACCCGCGCATGCGTGAGAACAAGACATAATCAAGGCCTCTACCCACCAATCCGAGGCCAGCCATTGGTCGGTGGGAAAGGAACAAATAGAATTAAATGAATCTAACTATATGTATATTTAATGTTCTATTTGCCGACAACAACTTTATATTGTTCCAAAGACGCTCCTGACTCTGTATGAAGACGTTGGGGTTCAGTAAACGATCAACACAAACTGTACTTTGCATTTGGCCAGAAAAGAAGTATAGACGCAAAGAATCTCGTCAAGTCAGCATTGTGTTTACTGGAAGATGCCGCCACAACGCAAACCAAAGAGAAAGATTTCTACATTCAATCAGTCAGGTCCAGCATTTGCACCCCCCCCCCGCCCCCCAACAATGTCGGTGCCAGCTGACTCCGCCTAAAGTAAGAATGCTTTCAACTCCAGGTTTAGAAAAATGCAATCATGTCTCTGAGGGAGCTTTTCAAACAATCTTGTTTCTGTAATTGCCTATCAATGTCTTTAGTTTTTAAAAGTTGGACTTTGAATATTGTGACCCACCTAATGAATGAAATACGGCCGGAGCTTCTCTAAGAAAAGTAGTCCTTTGTCGCCATCTTGTGGCATCAATAGGCAATGACTCTTTTTTTTATTACTGTATTGACAAGCTTTGGTCACCTCTGGCCTTCGGGCGTCAAGGTCCAAGCAAGGGCGTTCTCTATCAAGCTTTTTGTGCCTAGCCTGCCATTGGTCGGCCATCTTTGGCGTTCAGGACTCCCCCTGCTCTTCCTCGTCGTCCTCTCCGATGACGCCGCGAAGGAAGGAACGTTTGAAATCCTCAAAGGTGATGTCGTCACACTCGCTGCGATCCATTAAAAATGCCCCCCCCCCCAAAAAAAAGACAATTTAAACACGTGTATGCCCAACCCTCCTTGTGGGAAATGAACGCACAACTCACTTTGTGTCTTTGGCTGAAAGCAAAAAGAAAAGAAAAATCAAGTCAGAAGGCTGTCGAATGGGCGCCCAAGCGGCTGGGGGCCACCAACATTTCCGGGGACTCACGAAAGCATCGAGTTCGCTTCTTGGAAAGTGCTTTTCGAGTTGGTTAAGTCTTTTTTTTTTTTTTTTTGGACTAAGGCAAAAAAAAAATCCCCGATGGGATCGAACGACGGCATTCATCTTTTCCGTTGTCACCCTTTGTCAAAAGCAAAGCGTCACGTTACAGTATAATAATAATAATAATAATAATGAAGACTGTTGCCTAAACCCCCCCCAACCTTTTTTGGGGGGGGGGCGGAGAAATGGGGGGGGGGGGTCATTGACCACATGCGTGTTTTGGATTTGCCGGCGTGGTCACAAGTTCAACTGGTATCTCGCAGTGTCATGACAATTCAAGACAAGAAAAAAAATCACAATAAGATGTTTTGTCAATGCGAGCTATGATTCGGCATCATCACATTTCTTTGGATTGGACGGTAAGAGTCGTCCCAGAGGTGACTTTGTGATGGCTCAGCATTTCCAGCAGGACAAACACGCTCGTCACATTAGCCACCTTCTGCTGACAGCGCAACGAGTAAGCAGATTAACGCGCGCGCACGCACGCACGCCATGTCGGCGGTTGTGATGGTGATGGAAGATGACGGCACGTACCGGCTTCGGGTTTCGGATGCATCAATCTGAAAGGAAGCTCCACGCGCACCTCGCTGCGGGGGGGGAAACACACACATGCGCCATTCGACGCGTTTCCGGCTGCTTGTATGCGTGCGCACGTACGTACCTGGATCCCAGAGGTCTGAGTGCACAAAAAGAAAAGAGACCGAGTCAGGCGTCGAGCAAAGGACAAAACACGGGGCCGACACGGTCACGAAAGTTACCCCGTGGCAGTCATCTTCAAGAGCAGCTTATAAGACACCAAGATGCCCTGCAGCTCCTTCGCCACCTCCCGCTTCACCCTGCGCGCAGAAGCCAAAACGTCCAAGCGGGCTCGATGGGCATTTGCCCGTCAAGACAAGTTGAACCGAGACGGCTGGCATTGAGACGACGCGCACGCAATGGAATGCAAAGATTGCGAGCGTTTCAAAGGTCGTGGCCGTGACCCAAAGTTCTTTGGCCGTTTTTCTTCTGATCAATCGTCGAGGGCGAAAGAAGAAACTAAACAGCAGACGATTCAGGTCGCTCGGCCAAGACGTCGACGCCTTCAGCTTCCTATTTCACCGGCATGGAAGGAGACCCGTTTGTCAAAGTGAGTCTTTGGCGTCGGCGCCGTCTCCTGGAGACTCGCCAGTTCACCGGGGAACGGCGCCAAGTTTCAACACGCTCACATTGTTGTTTTTTTTGGGTTTGGTTTTGAGATGTAGCAGGGACCGACGCCTTCCACGACCGCGGAGACGTCTCACGCCGCCATTGATTTCTCGATGACGAATTGACAAGGTCGTCGGCGTCAAAGCCTAGAACCAAAAGAGCGGCCTCGGCGGTTCTCACATGCTGGAGGAAGCCAAGTTGGTATCTTGGTGCTTGAGGTGTCCGTCCAGAGCCAGTCCCCGCCGTTCCTTGTTGTGCTCCAGACGCGGGTACAAGGTGTATGACTTTGCCAGGCTGGAACCCGCCGCCACGCCGTCACTGGTGCCGTACAACACACGCACGCGCGTCAGTATGGGCGCGACGCCAATAAAGTCCAAAGTAGGGCTGCACCATCATGGCCAAAATGACGATGACCGAATGGGAAGCATTGACTGAACCGCTTCGGAAACCGGTCCGGCAATTGCCACTTTTTGCAAAGGGGCGACGCCGTAGCGAAAGGGCTTCAAAGGGAGGCGGCCAGGCCCCTTTTCGCCAAAGTCGACGGAGCGCCGCCCCGAGAACCTGCTCCGGTTGAGCTCCTCAAATTGGAGATCGGCTCTGGCGCCGTCACCGTCGCACCGAGTTTCCTTTCAAATCCCGATCTGCTCGCTTTGAATTTTCTGGGCAATTTGGCACGGGACCCCCGCCTTTTAAGCCGCTCACCTGGTCTCCTCTTTGGCCACCGACTTGACGTACTTGTCGTTGGAGTAGAGGACCACGTTGGTCACCTGCTCCACTGCGCGGGCGACAGACACAAGGTGACAAAGGCGGCGCTAGCAAGGGCGGCGCTAGCAAGGGCGCGGGCCGGCTACCTGACAGGCTGATGTCCTTCACCCTCCGGTTGGACCAGTTGGCGATCCGCACCTCGGCCCGCAGCGGCTCGCCGTGGCCGAACGTCTGCGCGCAAACGGGGAGCGGCGCTTTCAGATTTTCAAATTCGAAAAGTCCGGTCGGCCGACCGATCGACCGACCGACCTCTTTGGGCAGGCTCAGTTTGACGCGAAGAGGCTTGTCGGACATCAGGAAGTCGAAGGTGGTCTCCGCGAACGGCGACGGCTCGACGTCCCGCGGACCGAACTGGACCTTTCGAACGGTCAGGCTGACGGAACTCCTGCCGAGCGACAGACAAATGGGACAAAAGGAGGCGGAGCGGCAAAAGCTGGCAAGATGACAGACACCGACCGTCCGTCCGGCTCGTCGCGCCGATCGTCGGCGCGGAACGCTTTCACTTGGAACTCCACGGCGCATTTCTGCGAAGCGACAGCCGGGGTTAGCTTAGCGCGCCAGAAGGAGCCGGCGGCAAAGCGTCGGGCTCCCCGCCGCCGACCTTTCCCACGTCCGACGGTCCAGGCTGCAGCGTGACCGAGTTGGGCAGGTTGTCCGGCAACTGCAACAAAGGCCGGCGGGCATCACTCGCGGCCGTTTGGCGCGTCATCGTTCGGACGCCCGGCGTCGGTCCAAACGTAAAAGTGGGACATTGGAAAGGAATTTGCAACTTTCATCACGGCGAAGACGGCCTGAACGAAAAAGTCTTTTGCATTGGGATTGACTGACGTGCCCTGACGCCGATCATCAAGGGTGCCAGCCAATCGCGCAATCGTCCACGAGACGCAAGTGCAGAGGGAAGGGACGACTCGGAGGGGGCCCATTACTCATGGCGGCGCGTCGAAGTCACGGGATTAACCCTAAAAAAATGCTTTGTTTTTAGTTTGGATGACTTTTAAATCCTAGATAGCACCGAAGTTGAATTTCAAGCAAAGTGAGGGGGGGGCTCGATCCCAGTGGCCCCTGCGCATCCCACCGCCACCGCTACCATGTCAGGAAGGTCGCGTTTCAAGCGTCTGCGTCGGGATGTCTGATTTCACTGCATGTACAAGAACGCTCCATGAAGAAAGGAGAGTTCTTTTTCGATTCGTTTGAGTGTTCAAAAAACCCCAAAAAGCAAATGACAATCCTCACACGACGGACCTTGTGTCTTCGGTAACTCCGGCCGGCCGGCCGGCGATACCGACATAAACGACGACATTTGAAACGAAAGCCCAAAGAGTTGTTTCGCATGCATTTTGAGCACCGGGCGGCGCTTTGTGCCACCCGACCGATGCCGGCCGGCTCTCGGGTCGGACAAAGCGGTCCAAATTGCCGTCGGGGCCCGCGCAAAACGGAACCTCGCCAACTTTTTTTCCAATTTGGAGTTCTTTGGCTGGCTTGAGCAACCCACCTCCAGGAAGAAGGGGAAGGCGTCGCGGCCGAGTTTTCGCAGCAGCTTCTCCTGAATTTTGCTGCGCGTCAGCCGCTCCTTGTCTTGCAGCTCCGGGAAAACCTGGCGGGTGGCCACAAACAGGTCGCGGCGGAAGGCCGCGCCCATCACGTCCTCGTCCCGCCGGCCGTAGACGAAGGTGCACGACAACATCACGTAGACTGAAAGCACAAAACGCAGGGTGGGGCCGGTCCGCGCGCACGACGAGGGCAGGCCGGCCTCGAGATACGAGCGAAAGCCCTCAAGTCGCCTTTCCGCACGGCGGCGGCGAAAACACGGACTGCTTTTCCACCGCGAAGGACGTTGTGAAGGACGTGGAAAGGCCGAATGTTCAGAGCATCCTTGTGAGGTTTCAGCCCGCCCCCCCCCCAATAATGGGCCTAACGCCGCCACCGTTTCAATCGCTTTTCCAACGTGTGTCAACTGACCTCGTTTTCCTGCCAGCTGCGAAGAGTCGACGACAAGCACGCCGTCTGTAAGGCCACAAACATGCCTTTTGCTCAACACCGCCGCCACGCTTTTGTGAAGAGCGCGCCCGACGTGCCCTTTTGTCCCGAAAGCCACGGGCACTCACCCAGCGGATCCGCGCCATCGCCGCGGTCCACCAAGTCTCTGCTGGCCATGTAGATGGTCACCTAGGACGACAGGCTGACATGGAGATCAGATGTAGGCCGGCGCGGCGCTCCACCGCCGCACATTTCTGCCACGAATACGATGCAATCAACACCATCTTGCCCCGCTCCATATTTGGAGTTGTATCCACTTAAACGTCATCGCTCATGATGGACCACAAGAAACGTCGGGTCCCTCCATCAGGATAAAAAGCCCAGAAAGCATCAAAAGGTTCAAGATCCATTTTCGACGATGCGCAGCAAAACAAGTCAGCGGACGGGAGTCAGACGAGGCGCCTTACACAAAGTCATGACTGGCCAGTGCCCAAAAGGGCTTCACGGACGACCCTGCAGTACAACGCTCGGCTCTCAGCGCTCCTTCCACCCCCACCCCTGCCCCCCTTTTCCTTGAATGGCAGCCACTTGGCATACGCGCGGTCGCCCGTGCGCATCGTACATAAGGCGCGGCAACGTATTGCGGTCAAGTTGTTGCCACGATAGCAACTTACCGACTTATCCGGGGACGCTTTTTTGAAGACGACTTGCTTGGGACTCATGTCGACCGGACCTGCAAGAAACCGGCTTCACAACGCTTTTCACGTTAGGGCCAACACAGATCACGTTTCGCACAACGCTTCCACTTGAAGGACGGAAACGCACGTGAACGCACAACAGCAACAACAACCAGCAAAAAAACAAAATACACGATCACGACAAGCAGCATTCGGGAATTCGAGTGGAGCCGAGCGACGCACCTGATGAAGATGACGGCGAGGAAAATGACGGGATGATCGGCGCGAGCCCGCTTGGCCTTATAGCGAGGCGCTAAGCCGCTTATGATCCCCGCGGCCGCTTGGTTTCTTCCTACTCGGCGACACTTAGGGAGCAAGTCGAGCTGTAGCTTGGACTCGTTTATTCACTTGCCATGTGTACAAAGTCAACACGATACGAACAAGTCGACAGTCCCGCGTGACCTCAAACGTCACGTAGCCAGAGTTCGCGTCACGTACGCGGGCGCCGCGGCCCACCGAGCTCGTCGGTTTCGGGCCGGGCCGGGCGGGCCGGCGATCCACCGACGTCGATTGCGTGTCCGACGCTGAAAACAAACGGTGGGCGCGCGCGCGCGGGCGCCCGTGCGAAGGCGGCGTGGTGTCCGCTCCTCCCGTCACATGTCGGACCACAGGATGGCCTTGCTGCCCTTCTCCACGCTGCTCACGTACACGCCCGACGGCGACCACGACACGGCGTTGATGGCTGAGCTGTGGGGGACGACAGCAGCTTTTAGACGGCGGGCTCAACCAGAGATGGAAAACTTTCACGCGGCTCGGACCAGGGGTCGCGACAAAGAGATGTTTAAAAGGTCAGGACTAGGACGAGATTTGGGGAAACGTGACTCCGAGGGCCCTTCATCAGAGGCATGGCAAAAGAGCATCCCCCTTTTGGACCTGAACTGAAAGGCACGCACGCTTCATTGCGGTGCTTTCAATTTTGCTCACCCCCGAGATGAAAAGCAAATCGGGGACCGTCTTTTACGAGTACAGAAAAAAAAAAAAGGCTTCTGAAGGGTGATTATACGTCAGGGCATTTTTATTCCCCCCCCCCCCCCAACTCCGGCCCGGTCCTCCTAGCCCCCTATATACTCCC